GCAAAAGCTTTTTGCTCGATTTGAAACTATATTCTGACATTCAAGTTATTAATTTCAGATCTGTCAAGCAGCATTAAAAATATATCTTTAAAATTACCTTGAAATATGATGCATCAGATGAGTATTCAGAGTTTATTTCCATGCATATCTATTATCAGGAATATCTTCACAAACACAATTTTCTTTTTCCCCTGATATCAATGTCATGATTTGGTAAGCCCTAAACCCTTTAACCTATTGTGTGCATATGACATAACATACATACCACGTCTACTGTAATTTTAATTTATCAATTGTAGTTACACATAGATGTGCCCCAGTAGTGCTTAGTCATCAAGGAAAATTCAAGGAAAGGAAATCAGGAGATCACGTACGGCCTACAAATTGACTCACTGGTAGCCGAGTACATCTACGCATACAACAAATATTAACCAAAAAAAAACAACAAAGGAAAGAAAAAGAACACACTCTGAAACAATGCTCCTGAAACATAACTATTATTATCACTTATCAATATATCAAAATGTGCAGCTTATAATATAGTAAATTGACGAGCACCTCTTAATACTCAGCTCAACAAAACAAGAATATCTACAGTTGAGATCATCACCCACCTTCCTCATAAACCCAATAATGAAGAGTTATATTTTTCATGAAGTCGTGCAAGAATACGCTAACATTTGTGCGTCCCTAGGCATTAGTCCAGCTTGTGGTAGGCCATGCAAGACTTCATTCCATCCACCCGGACGGACTCAAGATATAATGAGGTATTACCCAGCATCTGTAATTATTCCCCATGACATGATACCACATTATCCATCACCAGTGTGTTAAAAAGTGACCAATGTATGCACCCTGATTTGCTCTTAAGCTAGCCCTTCTGTAGCACACACTTATCACCAATGAACAGTTTCTGAAGAGATATATTTTCCGATTTAATTTAAGATTATAATTCTAACAGAAACCATTTTCATACACTTGATTAACATATATATTTCAGAATCATTTCTATATAAAAAATCTATAAGTCTAAATTTCTGCGATATGATATATATAAAACTGTTATAACACCTTTTCTTGTACTTTGATTCATAAGCTGAATAAATATATAAGAAATTATATCAGAAATTATGTTCTGGTCCACCCAATAGGAGACTTCTGGTCAGTAATCTGCGACCCACATATATAAATAATTCATTATAGGTGATCATTTCCTTGCATAAACAAGCATAATCATAATTTACGACAAAAAGCATATACAAATGTATTACTTCAACATTCACCACCAAACACACTGCTAACAATAATACACAGAATTACATGTAATCAAATGAAAACCGAAACAACGTATGAGAATACCTGAATTGTACTAACATTCATCTCCTATCAAATATCCAAAAATAATTAAAAACCCATACCAAAACTCTTCAGATTCTTCCATAAATTGATGAGCCTGCGACACTGTATACTCGGCAAAATGATACAAGGTTCAAACGTGAAACAAATGGATACTTCTGAACTCGAACATAAATTTCCATATACAACGTATGTGACATCCTTTTCTCAAGGACTTTTTAGTTTGTAAACCACATGGACAAGGCTAATCATAACTTTTGTAAAAAAAAAAAAAAAAAAAAAAAAAAAAAATTCTTTATCACATGAGGGCATCAATTACAATTCCCAATACTACATGTATAAAAACCAAACCCACAAACATTCTTTGTATTTAAATACAAGCTAAATATGGAAAATTAACAAATTGTGTTTTCCATTACAAAACTCTATGACTTTGGCATTTTTCTGCTGTTCTTATTACCAGTGGTGGTGGTGAAAGTGTTTTTGGATCACCAGAATCTGGAATATGTCATACCGTGGCTAACTTTGCTAAATAAATATTAGTATATTTTAGTAATATGAAATTTACAAATAAAACATCTGGTTCAAATACAATATCCACATTCAATGCAACCTACTGACCATTCAAATATATCTTTTCCCCTAAAAATACATGTTGCAATTTTAGATATATATAAACACACACACAGGCACATATGTATACATACACACACACACAGACAAATGCACATGCACATGCAAACACACACACACACACACACACACACATGCAGACAAATGCACACACACACTTGCAAACAAACACACACGCACACACACAAACAAAATTAGATAGTGAGTGTTGGTCCCATGAAAAAGTTAAAAATGAAGACTGGAATGACCCATACATCAAAATCAATATGAAAATAAATTTTCTTTACAGAGGGTAGTTTTACTTTACAGTTTGTGCAAGAAATTGATGTCAAATGCAAACTTGGTTGGGTAGTCCCAATACCATTTGAAAGAGAACCTATAAACTCAATTTCATCATCGCTTTGTAGTCCTAATAAGAATTTCTGAAAAGTATTATCTGCATGTAAAGTCACTTGTGATCCCTCAGCTCCAAACTTCCACACTGAGGAACTCATTGCCACCGTAACTTCAAACATGTATTCATTCCAGCTTTCTAGAGTGCACGCATCTGCTCCTAAAACTGAATGAATCATCTGGCATCGTTCGATCTGTAATGTCTTTTCTTTGGACGATGGACACTGGGATAACGTCTTACCAAGATAACACCTTAAAGGTTTCCTAAGTACATAAGGAAGTGCTGATAAGGCCATTTCAGGTAAATTGAACACACTAACAATGTTCACTGCTGACACTGATCCTTGCCATTTTACAAAAACTCCTTGTAAAGGAAGACAACCATGAACAGTAAGAGCTGCAGAATCTTTTGAAGGTACACAAACATTCCTGTAACTTTCCCACTGTAAATTTGAATAAACTGCCTTTGGAACTGCCAAAATTAAATCTGGATGCAAAATAGCAATTACAGTCCCAATAGTTATGATCAGCTTGACAAAAATTATAAGTTTAGGGAACCATAATTTCAGAATGCAAGTGGTAACAATGCAAGCTGCAAATACAAATAGTGCTAACTGACCATCAATCCCTACATGAAGACAGACATAAGCAAACATTAGTCCAGGCCCAAAAAGAAAGAATAGAGACGCTATACTTGGTAACATCATTATCAGTGACCATGCAGCTAAAGGATATAAGAGGTTGGATGGTTCTGCTATCTTGTAAGAAGCCATTACGGCCAAGTGGCACCATGTAATAGTAACAAGATGTGGTGGGAGCGCACTTAGTTTATTAGTAACACATATGAGAATTTGCAAGCTACACCACATGAGATGCAGAAATGGTCCAATACCTAAGTGCAATTTTACATGCCATCCAATGTCGATATGCTGTTCTACTAGCAACTCTTCTGCACCAGTTCCTTTTGTAATGGTAAAGAGCCATTGGCTGACACTTTCATGGACACTTGGAGTCACTGCCATAACATAAATACTCAGAGATATAAATTGCCAGACCTTTAACTTTTCTGGAACTAAGAAAAGTGTTAAAATTGTGAAGATATACATAACAGGCAAAAAACAAATCACAAGCTTAGGTGACACTAATGGAACAGTTCCTAAATACATTACTACAGATAATAAGAGAGCAACATATGGTTTCCAACACCTTGCTTTGAATTTACCTTCAGCTTGTTCAATGTCAAGTTCTGGACAGTAATGTGAGAAGAGGATAGACCATGAATGGAAACTGTCGAAGTGTTTTCTATTCAGCAGCAAATGTGCCGTGGCCACCATCATTACCAACAAGGATATACAAGATATAAAAATAGGGAATGCTGAAAATGCTCTGTTGACACCTACTAGTGATATCAAACCTGATATTAGACAAACAATAAGTGTACTAGTAAATGGTGTCAAGATAGTCAACAGATATTTCACATAATTTGTAAATGTAACACCAAGAAACTGTAAACAACTCTGATAAACTTTTTTCAAGATTCTCATTGGCAGAAGTAAACCATTAAGAATCTGGTGTGAATGTGCATTTTGCGAGACTTGATTCATAAAGTGATGAATGGGAGGAACTCGGCCATTACAGTATATTACGGCAGCAGACACTAAGTGCTCCTCACTAAATCTCTCTCCTCCATATCGCTCCTCCAAATCACTGTTGCTGTCCACAGGCAGTGAGTCCTGAAAAGTAGTGGATCAGAGTTACTATTCTTTTAATCTTTTAATTAGTTAAAATAAACGCATAATACCTAATTCACTAAGAATAAAAACTTGTATAGTCAATTGATTTCTTCTCTCATGACTAGAGTAACTGGCATTCAACAGTAGCTTTGGTTCTTATTAATCTCATCAATGAAAGGTCAATCTCTTTGGAATATTCTTCTAAAACATTTTTCCCTCTACATCAATATAATCTTTACCAACACTATGAACTGCTGTGAAATAAGAATAAAACTAGAATACATAGATAATAGGACTAAGAAATATCTTTATAAAGAGCCATATCATTTTTCTGTATCAAAAGACAACAATATGTCTCTCTTTATATATATATATTCAACTAGATAGGGTTAAACAGCTCTTCTTCACAAAAGTTCTTACCGCAGAATCCTCAGACGATTCAGTTCCTGCCAAAACTTCTTGCATCTTCACACCAAGTCTGCTGCTGGTGATGAAGTCATTCCCATCACTGACACTGTTGACAGTTTAAAGAAGAAAAAAATGTTAATATCATAATAAATTTCAGTTATCACACCTTGCTATCAATATTACTCTGCAACTGTAATCTACACACACAGGATCTAGGAGATATCTGTCAAGCCATTACCAACTGGGACTTTCTTCATGCAAAGACTTCACTTCCAACAATATCATGACACCCTTTCTTACCCTTTATAGCCCTCATTACATTTAATATTTGCCATCCTTTATTCATTTATATTAATTTCTTATTCTGAAAATATAGTAAGTGGTTTCAACCTAATAAGAAGCCCTTTGGGAAAATTGCTTTGGCCTGAAAATAGTATTCTCTTATATAATTCAGATCCATTTAAATTTTTCTGTCAAAATGAGTGAGATTTTGAATTTCACAAATCTGCTTTGTCTCTAAAAACATCAATTGGTCAATCACAACCGTAACAAGTAGAATGATAGAATAGGATGTGGTGGCTTAACATTCATGATACTTTTTAACAGAAAGGCAACAAAAATATTTTTTGATTTGTAAAGATTCAATACTTTTTTGGGCATATGTTGTGCCCCCCTCCCCTCCAAAAGGCTCTTTTTAATGAGGGGTTGGAGAGAATCCAAAAATTTATCCACCCTATTAGACATGCCATGACAATGAAGGCTATTAAATGTCCTGCACTCTATGCAAGCTTGGAATTATATGGCTAAAATGGTGCTATTTCTTGAGTTACACCCTTGTTTTCCAAAGCTCAAATTGAAAACTAATACTATGCTCTGATTACCTCCTAGTTTCATCAAATCAATTGTAATATCAAACTTCTACTACGTCAACATCCTTTATAAATACTGACCTGGTGAAAAGCATACGGGCTGCTCTTCTAGCCAACTTTTCTTGCTGGTCCATTGCAAGACATTCACGGACTTCATGGTAGTTGTGTTCACAAATGCCTGCAAGATATAATGACCAAGATATAAAATACTAAGCAGTCAAAGTTGAGAGGTTCAAAAGTGATATGCTTAATAAAAAGAAGAATTATTTACTAATGGTATAATTGTTATTAGCTGGCCTTACATGTGATTACGAATAATCAAAAAAGGAAAAAGAGGATATATGATTCTCCAGCTTCAGCCTTGCACTGTTGAATACCCTCTTAGTGTTTTACTAAGAGAGGGCGAAAAGGAGTGGGAGAGGAGAGGCAGAATGGAAGAGGCCAGAGAGAGAGAGAGATGGAAGAAGAAAAGCAGAGGAGTAGGAGGAAATGGGGATGGAATAAAAGGAGGAGGAAAAGGACAGAAGAAAAAGAGGAGAAGCAGAGGGGGTGGAAGACGAGGAAGGGTGATGAAAAAGGAATATAAAGAGAAAGAGAGGAAGATATGGGGATTAAGGAGGGGGAGGGGGGAGGAGGAGGAGGAGAAGGAGAAAAGAGAGAGAGAGAACCATACTCACCGATATTTTTGTCCATGCAGTCTTGCAAGAGGTTTGTGGCTTCAGTGTTGCCCTGGAAGGAAGCACGACTCAGCCAGTACACAGCAAGTCTCGCTCCTTCTTCATCAATTTCATTCTCTAAAAAGAAAATGGATAATATATACAGTGAAGAAAGTAATCATATAAAGTCATATTACTGTCTGCTTAAAATCCTGTGACAAATTTACACAAATTTTAAGTTTAAATCAAAGAAAAGGAAGTACCAATATATTTTCTTTCCTAATTATCAAATTTTTACATTTTTACAATACATTATTTTCAAGAATTAAATCTATGATAGCAAAATTTACCATCACTGATTTGTTCCAAAAGAGTTTTTCCAATTATCAGTTGAGACTCCGGACAACCATCTTCTGCTAACTGGCTTCTCATCCGTCGCAAAATCCCACGAGGTCCTTCTGCAATACAACAAAATCATATTGGTGATTAATGCACATTTTCATACCACAATCTACATCCCTTATAAAACAATTACTGCAAACAAATATATATGCCTTTAATAATATATAAAATTACTGCTTGTATTCAGGATATACCAAAAACATTCATACATATTGCTCTTATAACAATATGCTAAGCAATTCATGCTATCATATTTAAAAAAGCAAATACATAAAATGCAAACATGATCTTTCCTAAAGATTTCTGAGAATCAGATGTAGAAACTACTTTTTGACATAGTCATCTAAGATAAATTACCACATATCAATAGCTATTGTCAGCAAGTAAATTATAATAAAACTATAAAATATTTTTTTCTGTACTAATAAATTTGCTGTAATAAAAAGCTTATTTGTTAAGTAAAAATCACCCAAAGAACCACCAATATACAAAAGAAAAAAGATCTTATAAAATTTAAAAAATTAAGTTGGAAATTCAAATTTGGACAGAATACAATATCAAGAAGTGGCAGTTTCCAAGATTCAATTTGATTCTATCAGCATTCGGTCCCTCCGTTGAGACAATAAGGCTGAACAGTACAGCCCCTACTCGAGATAATTTTCTTAAAGCCCAAAATATCGTGCATGACAAACTTTTATATACATGACTGTTTGTCCATTACCCAAGAAGCGTTGCAATGTCTGATATTGGGCGACTCGATTGCTTATGACATTTTTAGACTATTATATATAGTGCTGCTGGATCGGTACAGGTCTAGAGAAATGTTTTATGAGTAAAGTCCCGGTCCTATCGCTGATCAGAAAAACTAAGTAATACTCAAAATACTTTAAATATTCATGATAAACTGACACGTCTTGAATAATATAAGTTTATCTAATAATTACATTAGCAAAATACATGACATCATTCAGTGTGTTCTGCCCCAGCTGTTAGCAAGTAATCCAAGCGATACTCCTGATTTCAGACTTAATCTGAAACTTTTTCTGAGCCCCAGTGCCTTACCCTGGATGCTCCATTGCCTCCTCGCGGTCCTCTTGGCGGGGGCTGGCTCGGGTGCAGGAGCTTGGTCTGCCGCCTGCTGGGCCTCGTGCTGCTTAGCATCTGAAGGCAGAGTCGCTGCCATAATGTACAATGGCCCTAATCCTCGTGGGCTTGTGGTGCATCTATCGGCGAGGGGGGATTAGTGCCAGTGTCAGCACCAAGGAGAGGGAGGGAAGCACCAGACAGGCCGTCCCGCACAGGTCCTGTCACTCCTGGTAAGGTAAACACGGGTTCAGCGGGCACCCGCAATACACGCGTCGTTACCAAGTAGGGATTATCCTGGCATTATAACACTGACTCCCAATGGAAACTAATAGCATTTATATTTCCCAACCCAGTCGCTTGGATGAACTGGAGCAACAGGCTTTGCACAAAGCGTTAAAGACTCGCCCCCAGACGCAGGAAGTAAAGCATCATGTGAAGTGGTGACGCATGAATCCCTCATGGCGTGGGAGGAGGCGGAGGTTACGGCGGCGGACAGGTTGGGACAAGACCTGCTGCTCCCAGTCCATGGCCTCGGGGGAACCAGGCCACACTACTTACCTCTGGCGCAAAAGCAGTTGTTGGTAAGGCGATGAATATATTGCAACGCCATGAGGTTCAATATGGTATAAGCACGATTGAATAAAAAAAAGTGCACTGTACAAACTCATCTCCATTTCTTGCACGTACCTCATTTAGGTACTGTACGTCTGTACTTATCCCTATTCAACATTTCTGTCCAGCCTCTCAGACCTTGTTTTTAATGCATAAGATCAATTAAGCATTTTTTTTGTATTATTTTTTAGGAGAACTGATACAACAGATCTTCCTCTTGTTTAGTTCTATAAGCATAGATTTTTTTCAAGGTTCCAAGGCTTAGGTGCCAATTATTACATTTGCCAAGCGCCGTCCTCCCACTCCCTGGCATCCCTATAATAGGCCTATTGCTATCGGTTGAATGTGGTTCCTCGAATAGGTATAATTTTACCTCGTGAAGCCTATAATATCACTTGACCTATACCGTTTTCCTTTGTTTGGATACATATTCCTTACAGTTCCATTTGCATATAGTTGGGCACACTGATTAACTCTTTGTGTGTGTGTGTGGTGTGTTTGTGTGTGTGTGTGTGTGTGTGTGTGTGTGTGTGTGTGTGTTGTGTGTGTGTGTGTGTGTGTGTGTGAGAGAGAGAGAGAGAGAGAGAGAGAGAGAGAGAGAGAGAGAAGAGAGAGAGAGATTAATCTCGTTTGACCAAATAAGGGCAATTTGTGGTCTGGATAGAAACTACAGTCTTGTGGCGCCAATTACGGTGTTCACCTGGGTAACACGACGTTGAATTGAGGGGAGATCCAGGTCTTTCCTCATGACGAAGTTTATCAGTCGTAGAACAGCCAGTTGTAATTCTCATGACCTACACCAACCTTAGGAATGTTAGGGGTACACCTGCATCTTTATTTATATATATTGCAATGGTCCTAAGCGCTCCAAGCAACAATTATTTATATTTTCAACAATTTCGAGGGTGAAGTGAGAATAGCCTGACATCAGATGGGGAGTAATCACCACAACACCAAGATAAGGGTGTCACAGTCCTAACAATTGGTCATTTAACCCTGGGAAGTATAGCAGTTTGCGAGGTCTGGAAATATGCTTGGTCTTGATAATGTTGATTTTGAGGCCAAGGGAAGGTCATTTTACTGAACTGAAGACCATATTTCCCCCCACTGAAGAAGAATGAGAATGTCATCAGCATAAGATGTTGTGGTGCAGAGGTCTCCTAACTCGTAAAGAGAATGCATAAGTCTGTTAAGTAGAGGGAGAGAGAGAGAGAGAGAGAGAGAGAGAGAGAGAGAGAGAGAGAGAGAGAGAGAGAGAGAGAGAGAGAGAGAGAGAGAGAGAGAGAGAGAGAGAGATTCAACGTATATGCCGCCTAAATAAGGAAAGATGTCCCTGAGAAAATAGAAGCCTTCCCCCCTGTGACAATATAAAGAAGAACAGCGTATGAGAAAAAAAAAGTAACGATAGGGTGGAAGAACGAGGAATTGGAATGAGAAAGGACAGTGTCTCCCGCGAAAAAAAAAGATAGACGACTATACCAAAATAAGAGGTATGGAAACAATGATGTTGGTTCTGCATTATCAAGGAGATACCTAGTACAGCTCTCATTGTACTAAATGCCTTAGAAATTACAGTAAATCACATGAGACAAAGAGAGATTCAGCACAAGAGAATCGCCGAGAGAATAGATAACCTGAAAGTAAAGAAACACGTTCTTGTTTTATTCCATATGGAAAACAAACAATAGAGGTACAGGGGGACACAGAACGAAGGATATGCAGAGGTCAGGCCTTGTGTGAGATGATGAGCTATTAATCAACATAAGACAGTGCCAAGGTCATGAGGGTCAGGATCATAGACCCAGGGAAAAGAGGTCATAATTTAGTTTGTCGAGTTCCAGCGCTATTAAGA